GTCATCAGTGATGATGACGATGACGATGCGGATGCCGGTGACGTCATCAGTGATGACGATGACGATGTGGATGCCGGTGACATCATCAGTGATGATGACGATGACGATGTGGATGCCGGTGACGTCATCAGTGATGATGACGATGACGATGTGGATGCCGGTGACGTCATCAATGACGATGACGTCATCGGGGGGTCACGCGACATCGGCGGGGGTCACGTGACCTCGAGGAGGGGGCCACGTGACCTCAGGGGAGTCACGTGACTTCGGGGGGTCACGTGACCCCCCACGAGGTCACGTGACCTTGGTGGGGGGCTCGCGCGGTGCATTATGGGACATTTCCCATGATGCACCGCGCGGTTACGCCGACGCCGACGCCGACGCCGACGGCGACGCCGCTCAAGCCGGAAACGGGCCCCTAAGAGCTGCGCTCTAATATATTATAATTTGTTTACCCACATCTCAGAGTCCGAATATATGTTGCTGATGCCTACAGCGTGCCTATTATATCATAAAATAATCGAGGAAGAAGTTAACGAAGTTCACGCGCGACCCAGGCAGACGAAAACGCCAGTTGCAGGCGCTTTGTGTTCGGGTGGAGAGGGTCACGTGGTGCGCCGCTGGCGCGGTTTTCGTTGCCTGTGCCGCCGGCGTGAGCTCGCCGGCGATTGACCACCCGAATTCGCCATTAGCCGCGCGTGCTAAAAGCGCAAGCTAGTTGCTTCAAACGAAGCCTCGGATGCTGCACGAGCGCTCGTGCAGCGAGTGCTCCAGTCAAGGCAGTCAAGGGTAGCCGCTCGCGCTAGCACAGCATTTTCGGTTAGTCCATGCTAAGGTGAGACGAAGTATAACAACTGATTTTCTTTTTCTTCCTCTTTTACTACGAGCCCCACTTGAGGGAACAATTCTCTTTTCCTCTTTTTTGCTTCCTAATTCGCCTTAAAATTCTTATTCCCGTAGAAATATTTTTTTCTTTCTCGTGCAGCACGAGAGAAGGTGCACTAATGCAGTCATCGCCATTTTTCCTCAATGGCAAGTGCCTCTAGGATTTCACGTCCCAGTTTTGTCTTGTTTCTTGCCACGATGTTTACGTCGTAGAATGGTGCCGAACAGTTCAGAAAAAGGCGATGACTGCATTAGTACACCTTCTCTCGTGCTGCCCGAGAAAGAAAAAATATTTCTTCGGGGATAAATATTTTAAAGTGAATTAGGAAGAAAAAAAGAGGAAAAGAAAATTGTTTCCTCAAGTGGGGGTCGTAGTATAAGAGGAAGAAAAAGAAAATCAGTTGTTAGTCCAGCGGTGTGAATGGTCTTTTCTTTATGTGTATGTTTTTTTCTAGTTCAGCTGGCCTTAAGTGAAGTATGAACCAACTAGCTCACCTCAAGCCGGTTTAAGTAAATCTCCGCCAATACTGGCGTCACAAAGGAACCTATGCAGACACCTTCTTTTGGCACATATTTCGCTTATACTCCACAACTGTTGAACTAAGATAAAAATGTAAAACCACCTGAAAACTGTCGAAGGAGAATCCTGTACCTAATTGAATTTTTACTAAATTAAGCTTTAGCACTTTTTTTTTAATTTCCTTCATTAGTCTGTTCTTTTCCAAACAATAGTACAAGTCCTTTATATCCATAGAAAATACCGACAACATCCTGCCACGATGCATTTCCAATATACTGATAAATTGGTTTGTGTTCGTTAGCGACAGAGAGTTTTGTAACTGAACATACCCCAACCCTTGTTGCAGAAACGTAGGCACTACCTTCTGCTATGTTCCGTTTTCAATAATGACCGTACGAAAAGGAAGCTCCGGCTTGTGATCCTTGAGAAAAACGCTTTAAGCTCAGAGTCTACTGCTTTCCACTCCTCATTTACCTTAATCTGTTTTATTAGAAATGTTATTAAGGTCATCAGCTCCAGAACCGATGTTCACGGTGGAAAAGCCAAAGAAATAATTTATGCAGTTCTTGTGTCTAGAAATTTACACGAATAAAGCATTATGCTGGGAATATAGAAAAACAAATCCAAAACCGATCCTTCCAAAAAAGAGCTGCCACTGTGAGGCTGTAAATCCGGGTGTTTTTAAGCCATTCATCACAAATGCTTTAAGCAGGTCTTGTGCACATTTCATAGCAAGGGCAGTCAAAGGGCAGCGTGAGAGGCTGAGCAGTGCGGGATACGGAGATTTCATTAGGACGCAAGTGACTATATTGAGCAGGGCAAACAAAGCGAGATAAAAAAAATAAGGAAGATTTGCACTCATGCCATATTTTCAGCGATTCTTTACAATCTAAAAGCTTGCGCGAAGAACTTTGGTGGACATGCGGTATTCAATACGGATTTCAAGTTGGACAACCTTACCCCATTTCAAAGTGAAAGGAAGGGGAGCCTAGAAACCGATAGAGAAAAATCGGTGCCTTGTGAGGAAGGAGTCGTGTATCAGATGCCTTTAGTGTGCGGGGCAAACTTCTAGGTGTTCGAATGATAGACTAACTGAGCATAAAAGAAAGGTAAAAAATTAAAGCGGCCAATTCTGAAATAGCAATTAACACAGATACTGGAATGCAACAACTGCATGGTACAGTGGTTGGAGATAGAAGTGGTACAGAAAGAGGTCAATGGTTTCAAACGAGTTGTAAGAAAAACCATTAGAATTACGTAAGTCCATAGGAAAAAATGATCATGTGACGGGCTAGTTGGTTATACATTACGAAATTAAAAGTAGCGCTAAAGACGAGGACAAGTAGAAGACACAGACACGGACAGGCGCTGACACAGACACGGAAAGCGCCTGTCCGTGTCTGCGTCTTCTACTTGTCCTCGTCTTTAGCGCTACTTTTAATTCCATAGGCAAATGTATAAGCCAGGCATTGCTTGACAGTGACAATGCGTTCCTGCGCTTTAAATTCTTTTGATTCTTGCATTGTGTGTTCGTGTTTGTTTGTTTTTAGTATTGTGTAGGAGTGCAAGAATTTGGGGGATGTTAGGTTTCAGTGTGACGATGACAGATAGCTTGAAGGGTAACGTGTTTCGTTCTCTGTAAGGTTTCTTATCAGTTTGGTGGGTTTCGCCAGCAAGGTCGTTCCGGGCTGGGGGGGTTCTAAGGAGTGTGAGTTTTGTACGAGCGTACTGTGACCGCGGAAGGTCATGGTGTGTACATAGGTGGCTGCAAAGTTTGTAGAAACGATAGGAAAGAGAAAAGCTTTTTTTTTTTATTGGTTGGTGATGACCTTGGTTTCAAATGTGTAAATAATAGGTTTCCTGATTAAACCTATTGTCTGAGTTTGAGACGTCTTCTGGCTGACTTCTTTTCCTGTCCTTCTACTTTTGGTTGATTCAAGGTTCTTCCACACCCAGTCTCAGGTGTCTTAACATGATGCTAAACTTCCACCAGCTCGCCTGCGTCCTCACTGTGTGTGTGTGTGTGTGTTTTTTAATAATTTTACTCAGAGCTCGATGTGCTGACGTCCCCGCGCGCCTTTCGTCTCCTTCTCTTCATCAGTATCTACCCGTATAGACATCAAGTGACATGCTCTTGGGGTATACTCCACTTCGCCACTAGTTAAAGCGTGGTCAAATCTAGAATGAATAAAAATCCAGTCAAGTATGCTGAAACTCAAAATTCGTGGTGCATTCACTGTATTTGAATGGTTTAGCCGCACAAAAAGACGGCGATTGTTGGAATGATGAGCTTTTGTCGCTGAATGTCAGTGACAAATGCGACAAGTTGGAACGCAGCTGACGCTACGAGTATTCCGTCCATAGTAACCCTGAGAAGTAGGAACAATAAAAAAACGGACAGATTTTGTTGTTTTGTATTGTTCCTAAGTCTCAGGGGTACTATCGATGTCATTCACCAACTCGCCTGCGTTTTTTTTTTTTTTCTTCGCTACAAGTAAATCGACTTGTAGCGTTGGCCGCGTTCCGATTTAAAGTGAAACAAATTAAAAGTAACACGCTAAGTCATACGGCTGATCACTTAACGTATTATTGTTCGTGTAATGACGCCTCTAAAAGTTATAAACAGTGTTTTATTACATCTCAGGCAGATGTCATTACAGTGCAGAATTTCGGGGGCCGCAGAGATTTCGCCGTTTGCCAGGGATAAGACTCAAAAATTGCACCTCTCAACGTAACAATTGGAAGGACTTTAATACACATTTAAAAAAAAAAAAAATTCTTTAGGAGTATTTCCCCAAAAACATAACTCTTCCGATATCAAAAGTAATTCTATTGGGTATTTTTAAAATGGGTTTAAATAGGATACATGTCAACTTTTATTGTAAAATTGTCAATAGAGACCTATGTCACGGTTCGGTTTTTGTCGAATCACTTGTATCTTGCATCAGCTGAGATATGCGAATTCATTAAGAAATATTAATCGCACGAATGGATTCGTTAACCGATAGTAATGTAAGTGGTATCAAGGACCGCCGCTAGACAACGCCTTAGGGTGAGTAGTTTCTTTTTAATTATTGCTCCCTGGGGCTGCTGTACTTCGGCTCTTTAATGAGACAGGCGTGCGTGTAGAGGTACCATTTTGAAACAGGCACCATTGGCAAAATCAATGGTACAACACTAGCACGTCCTTCATTGATTTGCCGGCTGCCACAAAAAATGCCACAAAAATATTAGAGGCACGAAAGTGGCTTCCACAAAAATATTAGAGGCATGAAACTACTCCCTGCAGTCCCGTAGGAATGCTTCCGAGGACGGCAAAAATCTACAGCCAGAGTTTTATTTGGTTGCTGCTAGTTAGGCTTCCGATAGTTAAGCGTATAATTGCCAGGCCGTATAGAAACGTAAAGTTATTTTTGCATGGATTTCACTGTGTTTTTTTTTTTTTTTTCTTTCTGTTTTCGAGTTTTGTACGTATGCATAGCTGGGGCGTTTAAAGACGCCTGGAACTGCGCTGCACTGTGACTTATGGTGCGCGTTGTCTATTTCACTGATCGTTTAAATTGTATATAATATAAATATTTTGTTTTTCACACAGCCAGTGCAACGGATCTTTCGAACAGGAGATGCCTCCTGACGTCCCACCTAAACCTAGTGAGTTTACCCTTCTCGTTCTACAAAGTACATGAAACATTCGTAAAAATATACAGGCATGCATATAAAACAGGCCAACAAAATAGTTACGCTTGTTGTATGACTGAATGCGCATTTTAGATTAAATTGGGCCCTGGTTTGAAGTTTCAAAGGGAGTGCGAAGCTGGGTGTTATTTTTGTATTTGAATGTGTAAGTCTGCAAAGCAGAGCATACTGCTTTCATTTTTGAGTTCCGTCGATCGTTGCTTTCGATCTGAATGAGCATCGTACCCGCGTGCGGTCGTCTATCACTACTGTGTGAGGCACGTTAAAGACTCCAAACAAGCAGTGGTACTTCACTGATTAATTTTGCGTCCACAGCGTCCAACAGTATCGCCATAGCTCAAAGTTAGACCGACCTTTCGCTGTCCAAACACTAATGTCAAATTTGATTTCTTTTTTTTTTTCTTGTATACTTTTGAAAAGTTGTGTTTTTTTAACCCACATACGTTAATGATAGCTACTTTTATATAAAGTAGGAATGATTCGCATAATTATCATTGTATTTGCATTTTAGACATGCATCTTAAAAACTCCGACATACCGCAACTTTTTTTTTTTCGTTGTCATTTGCTGCACGGTTTCAACGCCGCTTAGCGCCCCCGTAGATCGACGTGTTTTGGGCTTTTTTCGATTAAAATATGATGCACTAATGTTTTGCGCATTCTCCCCTTGTTCCCGGAGTAGCTTGAACACCCATTAAGTTAGAAAACGCTACAGAGGCACAGGCTCAAATATCGATACAGGGTCTCTGTATTGTGTGCATATTTTTTTTTATAAATTGAAATACCTTGTATGTTGGAAAGTATGTTGTTACTCCATCCTTCAAGGAAACAAAAGTATATAAATCAATTTATTTGTCAAAACAATTTTCCGAAAATTTGGAGACGCACTCAAAGATACAATTCGTCATTCTCAGTAGTCTTCGGCACAAAATATGCGACGATAACAGATATGGAAGCTCACATAAAAGACGCGCAGATGTTAAGACCACAGGAGGCTCAGTATAGCAAGATTACAATCCTGACGGTATAAACCGGGACATCGATAAAAGAAGGGAGGCGAGGAAGGAGTAAAACTTTCGCTATCATTCAGTTCAACGTAAGAACACGAAGTTCTCCCAATTAAGAAAATCAATATTCTTTCTTACCAATCTTTATACAATGCGGAAGAAATGTTTCCAACCGAAGCTTTCCAAAATAGTAATATAAAAAAATGTTTCGTACACATGTTCATATGTACAAAATGCATCCCAGAAACCGCTCAAGTTTGCTCTCAATGGGAGGTAACATTTTCATTGTATGTTTATTAAAGTTAAGTTTATCGCAAAAAAAAACATTAATTCGGTTTCTTATTTTTTTTTCTTTTCTTTTACTCGTTTAGTACCGATTCCGCAACTACGCACGCTTTCGCGAAAACGTGGCATGCGACTTCGTTGAGACAAATTGGCGCGACAGCTATAATGAACCTCTGGAACGGTACCGACAAGCCCAAAGCGCAACTTCGAACACGACGTAACGTGGTGAAGGTTAGGCTGTAGAATTGAACAAGATAGAATAGAATAGAATATTTTTATTTGTAAGGAAGCATCCCAACTCTGAGTACCGAATTTGAAATTACTTTCAAATCTGGCCTATGCTCGTTACACGATAGAATGCTCCTGAGTGAAAAAGCGCTTGCGTAAGCGATCTTCTACTGAGAACATCATACTTGTGGTACTAATCAAGCGCATTAGTAAGCAAAGTAACAGGAATATCTTTATATATCTATAAATGTTAGCTTTCAAAAATATGTCTAAAGAATACTTTAAACCACGTCGGCTCTTTTGCTTTAATTCGCTTGGCAGCGAACGTGGTTCATGATATAAAATCAAGAACAGAAGATAAAAAGTAGGGTCATGTTAAGTGTGAACGTAAAGCATAGCACGAAGGATTTTTGTTTTTATCTCCATCACTACGTACGAATTGGGCATCAGTATCTTTAACTTTGACTGATTAGATAAGATATTTCACCCAGAGACAGATTATTCTCTACACTTCCATATTATCAAGCATATAACGGCGCGATTAAAGATAGTACAAACACGAGACAAAGATATTGATTTAAATAAAAAAATGCAATGTTTCTATGACTTGCATGAACAGCCTTTTGGATACAAAAAAAACCAAAATATTTCGTGATCAAAAAGACCGTTTCAAAACTTTAAAATTATGCGTTGTACACTCGAAGAAATCTGGGGCATCTACATTCCTGCAAAACGCTTAGGAGAGCCTGTAATCTATTGAAAAGGCGCCGCGAATCATGAGGTTAAAAATATATCTATACCGCTAGAAAGAAACAGTTTACGCTGTGAACTTGAGCATGGTGAAACGACACACTCAGCGTCACTGCGCAAACTGGTCTCGTAGCTCTAAACATATTTCCGATCTTGTGATTCGCCGCGACCTTCAATCACAGATCGCAGCGATTGGTCGGCCCACGTGTTCTGCGGGAAGCAAACGCTCCAGAGTTCCTAGAGAGGAACGCGGGAGGTGCCAAATCCTAAGCACCTACTTACTCCTCCGTAGTCATTAAGAATGCGGGATTAACCGACAAGAACACCGAAGGACGATTCACAAAGCAACAGCCGTGAACGTATAATATCCCACACCCTACGAAACTGCGCTGTTATTGATCATAGTTTATTTTGAATTACTAACTAACTTAATAGTAAGCACAACTAACACTCTTCCTCCTTGAACACACCCATTCGTTCTAGTAAAATTTCAGTTTGCGCTCTTCACATCCGACAATATTGTAAGGTGTCTTTTACGCCGCTGTTTCATCAATGTCAAAAAGGTCACTTCTTCACAACACGCTCATCGCGTGTTTTTTTACATTTAACTATTTCAGCACCCGAAGCGCCAGGAACTCCGGGAACGCCGCTGCCCCCTGGACCTCCACCACCACCGTCCCCACCGGGACCTCCGCAACCACCACCCGAGGCGACCACGACGGCCGAACCAGAACTACCGAAACCAAATCCACCACAGCCACCAGTGCTACCAGTAACACCAGAGGAGCCATCCAGTACAGAAGGGTCAAATTCCACAACTACCCTGTCACCAGAAACACCAGAGGCGCCATCCAGTACAGAAGGGCCAACTTCCACAACTACCCTGAACCCGGACTATTGCTAAAATTGAGTCCCGCTCTAGCCTTGTGCGTTTAAATCGCGCGAGTTTCGGTAACACGGGGCTCATACATTCGCGCTTAGTTGTGGTTTTTTCATTAAATATTTTCGTTGCAAACTCGAGCTGCCTACTTTTTTTCTGATGTCTCTACAAATAGTTTCTGGCTTAGGGCATTCAAGCAGGAGAGTTTGCTAACGTTTTCTTACAGTTACAAGTCACGAAAATTTGTGTTTCAAATATTGAGTGTAAAGGCTCGTTCACAAAGTTCCAACCGAGTACGACCGAGAGAGACAAGACCGGTTTTTAAGCCTTTTGTGACCGCGTAGGACCAGATGCGCTGCTGCGGAGCAAGTCCTACGCGGTCGCAAGAGGCTTAAAAACCGGTCTTGTCTCTCTCGGTCTCACTCTGTTGCAAGTATGGCTACTCTTTGAACTGGTTGCCCCGCCTCATACGAATCACGTATGTCCCCGTGACTCCCGGCGTAACCAGACGTAAGCTAACGCAATCGTAAGCAGGCAGTGCTGTTTCAACCGGCCTTTATTCTGAATCGCCGACATCATGTTCGCGCTAACAAGTGTCGCGCAGTGTAGAAATCTGCAAAAAATGACGCGTGAGCGTGGTCTAGCCGGCGCGGCACACGTGGTTTAAACCCCCCCACTTCACTTTTTTTTTTTTTTCGTTTCCCTCTGGTGTTTTTTTGAACTTTTCAGTTCCCTCTCAGACCGATTGTGTGTTGTCTAGAATGTTCCTGGAAACGGAGTTTTTATAAAAGAGGTCGTAGCTTGCAGAATACGGGTAGCTTGGTGCTAGTTTTTCGATCTTGTTGTAACGCGGACATCGACACTCGCGACACCATACATTTCAGGGTATGTTTTTGTTGTTTTTTACACCAAAGTTTTTCTTATTAAACGTTTAGTTTTTCAGATATTCCCCGCTTTTCTAACTCGTCATTCACTACGACATCCTGTTAAGAGTGTTCAAGATTACGTAAATTTCTAGTAAAGTATGTTCCTGGTCTAGTTGGTGTATTACATGACCGGTTCAAGGGTAAATAAATGTTTGGTTTTGTGTACTTTCTGTTTTCTTTAGTTCATTAATGTTTGCCCTTTCTCGAATAAAGCTGGTTCAAAGTTAGCGCCTAATCCGTCCCTATTTTATTATAAGCGGAAATTATGATTTGCTGAAGTTTTACTAGACTGTAGGACTATAGCAGTGTAGGCGTTACAGCTTGAATATTGTAAAAGAATATTTGTCACCGAAGGAATTATGACCTTTGTTAGAAATTGTGTTTCAGTCCATATTAAAATTAGCTTCTGCCTCATTACAACAATTGCGAGCTGCCGGTTTTTTGTGCATATCCTGGTGAGTGAAAATAAATTTTACCTTTTGTTTTGCTTTGTTAGGCGATCACCGCTGTTTTTGAAAAAAGAAAAAGTTAGTGAAATGTATACTCTTTTATCCGCATTAAACTGCATCACAGCTACCAGCGGCGGTCCTTGTTACTTGTCTGCAGGGCTGGTCAGTACCGCAATTTAAATGTATCGCAATGCTAGCTTCTAAACCCTGAGAGCTCTTTCAGCTCATGAAGAACGTTTTCGCCTCCAGCACCATCGCACCCTGGCGCACTAGAAAAGATCCTGGGCGATGAAGAACTCCTTTGCATCAAAAAAGAAGCTTAAAAGTTCCCCTTATGGGCTTTTCACGAAGAATCCTTTTAGGGGTTGCTTATAAAGAAACTTCTTAGTGTGCAAAATATGGAGAAGCCAAAGAGCCCATAAGAGTTCTTTTACGCAGAGATTGTTTTAGAGTGCACGTCCAAGATGATTTTGGGAATGTTTTTTCCTGTATCGAGACACATTTGAAAAATGGTTGTATTTAAGTAGTTAAATGCATTTGGAATCGATCGCTTGTATCGCGATGATATGCCAGGCTCAAGTATATCTCGTTATATTTGTTGTTGAAAATTAACTGTCGGGTTTTTACGATGCTCTGAAAACCCTTTTGGCGCGAGGTGACCGAAACTTTATATAAAGCCCCCGCTTAACCCCCCTACGGGGGAAAAAACCACCTGAAACGAAATCCCGATATACTACAGTCACCAAAGCCCGAGCATTATCATTTGATTTCGCCACGAACTGCTTCTCCCGCACTTACAACGATTCAGAAAAAAAACTATATTTTCCTGTGTATCTGTATCTGTATGCCGGGTTAGTTTCTGGCCGTTTTTCCAAAAGTATTTCGGAAAGATTCCGTTTTATCAAAAACAAATGCATCTCAGTATTTGTATTTTGGCCTTAAAAGACATGCATCTCAGTATTTGTATTCCGCAATAATCTTTTAGCATCTCTGACCAGCCCTGCTTATATGTTACCAACAGATGACACTGTGACGACCAATTAATAACTTTTTTTATTCCCGCTGTGTGAGACCGAATATTAAGGTATTACATTCCCCCGACTGCATAGACGAGAAAAAAAAATCAAAACTATGTTCACAAGCAAAACTCTCCGTGCAGTGCATTTCCCGCTGGGCATAAAGTAGAGAGCATTCATACACACTCACGTGTTTCTTTTTTCATCCACCCCTACAGACAGTCAGATTTGACGGATCAACCACACTGCGCCAGCAGCGGCCTGCAGATGTGACAAACCCTCATTATGATTCTCAACTGAAGCGCATTCAGCGTGTAGCCGCGTCTAGTTTAGCTAAAATCAAATTCAAATTCAACATTATATGTCACATTCCATATGACTAGATTTTGAGGAAGTCATCATTTTTCTGACAAAGGTACTTTATCATTTTCAAAGGAGCACTGAACTCCTGAAAAGATTTTTCAGTGCCAAATCAAGACACGTTTTTTTAACAAAAGTAGTTTTAAACAATTTGCGCACTATCAACATTGCGGCCGTGTTTAAAAAATCACTCGATCTTACTCCAGGGTAAGAGTTTTGTACCTTGGCGTTCAAAACCTACCCGCGTCCAGCGTTCTTCAATCTATGTTGTCACGTGACACGAAACGCCGGAGTAATTTGAGTCCATTTGGGTAAGATTTGGAACACAGCCTGCAAGACACATTTTATGTTAGAAGACATTCCGAAACCACTATTTGGAGGTTGAACTACACTTTGCTCGGCGTCAATGTTTACTATATTATATATCTTGCGAAAATAAAAATGAAAGCCCTTTACAACTCCCTGTAACGCCGGATTAGAGCGCAGCTCTTGAGGAGGAGGATGGAAGGCTACTGAGGGACAGGTGATTTCCTGAGGTAACGTGACCTCGGGGGGGGGGGGGGGGGGGGGGGTCACGTGACCACAGGGGGATAACGTGAGGGTAACTCTCATAACCCTCGTGACCCTCGTGAGGGTAACCCTCGTGAGAGTAACCCTCGTGAGAGTAACCCTCGTGACGTCATTATGAGAAGCTACCCATAATGCAACGCGCGATTACGCCGTTGCATGCAAACCGCGCGTTGCATGCAACGCGGGTTGCATTCAACGCGCGGGTTGCATGCAACGTAGATGCAACGCACGGTTGCGCCGACGGCAGCGGCGACGGCGTCGCCGCTCAAGCCGGAAACGGGCGCCTAAGAGCTGCGCTCTAATAGACACGTACTTTTCCTAAAATAATTAACAGGTCGATTTTTTTTTATCTACACTATTGCTGCTCACTATTCACCTTTAAAAATGTTTACAGAGTATGAGTAACTAGCACAAGGTCTAGAATATTGTCGCGTGCATGACCGAGAGGGAACGCGTCTCCGTACGTCTAGAAGATTCGAGCTTACCCCGAATGTAAAAGGTAAGAAGGACAACATCACTTCGCCGAGTAAGTCTTGTCCTAGCTCACTTCCGAAGATTTCAGGTCAAATATTCGAGATTCCAAGGGTAGTAGACAAGAAGCCAACATGACATTGCCGACTCCCCCTCCCGACGACAACTTTTTTTCTCGTCACTATCGTGTAAGCCGCACGATAAAATATTAGTGTACAAGAAAATTCATGCCTTTGCTGTCGCTCACTGTATCCAAGCGTTAACAAGTGTGCCTCAGCGCGAAGTGCCTTACCGGGCACAGTAATGGCTGGAACTCTTTCTCCCGCGCGACTAATACGCGAGCTGTCGGACTTCAGAGAACGTCTTACCCCGAGCATTGGTCCATTTTAGCTCGCTCGTTTTCGGACATGTCAGGCATTCTTCGTCGACATTTGGCCGGTTCTAGCAAAGGATCGTTTATTCCTGCGTGTTCCAGTGCAGGCACACCTTCCGCTAGTTGGAGAAGAAGCGTCAGATTTCTCTCGTTTTCTTCGGGGTCAAATGCAATCGAGGCAGCACGACAGAGAAACTCCCAACTTGGCCCGAGCTCGGCAATCCTAGGCGCCTAACTTGGGCCTAAAACCGGTTTGCTACAAGGCATTAGTGTCAAAGCGTTTTTTTTTTTTGTTTGTTTTTTCTGGCGTTTCGATGGCTGTTCTCTCGTGCGCCACATGAGGGAAATGCCAGACTTCAGCTAAAGAGCCTGCAGTGAAGCATTAATATTGAACTTGCTTGGACAATAGAGGTCCAAAGTTGCCATATGGGAACCGAGCAATCAGAAGTTAACTTTTTCACTTGTTTGGCAATTTATGACTAAGATACCCAGGTTCTGGCCAAAACAGGTCTTGCTTAGCTTTAAATTTGTCTACCCGCAAAAGGGTGGGGTGGGTGAATTTCACAAGAGTGTAAATCAAAAACTGATTTGAAATACAAGATGTAGTATGCTAACACGGCTATTACATTTATCAACGCCATGTTTGCAAGGAGTGTTCCTAGGCGACATATAAAAACTATTTCTTATGATAAGAACCGGTAGGGTATTTTTGATCACCGACGTTTTTATTTGAACGTGACCTATAAGAGCCCAACTGTCCAGAACACAATTTCCGGCTCGAAATTCGAATTTTTTCGTCCAAAAACATAGGGCGAGAATTGGCTGGTTTGAAGCGCACTCAATTTCTATTCCGTGGTCA